TTTTGCCAACTATTTGTGAATATAGTGCTTGACTAGTTGATTTGGTTAGGAATGTGTGATAGTTCCTGTTATGTCAATGAATTTGAGTATTGGTTTGCAACTATTAGTAATGTTTATATGGCTCAATATTATGCACATTGAGGAGGACGAAGGCATTTGTTCTCTTAGGTAACCTTCAGACGATATTAGATACATTTGTTCCCTTCTTGTTACCCATGTTGTTGCTTGTGCCCTTTTATTGTTTATTTAGCCACTTTACAAGCCTATACAAGCCCCATTGGTTACTAGTCCCAAGCTTGGCTTGGGGGAGCTACTTAGTTGGTGAGATGAGGGAGTTGTGGTGTGCATATCATTTGCCCAATGTGGGAATAAAAGAAGAGTGATTGTTCTTTGATATTATGATTGGAAAATATTGATGTTTTGTGTTTCAAAGTTGAAAATTTCCAATATAAGGTAAAAAGAGAAAAAAAGTTGTTTCATATGTTCAAATGTTCTATTTGAAGGTTGCTCAAGAAGAAAAAAAAAAGAAAAAAAAAAATCAAAAGAAAAAAAAAAGTTCAAGTTTGAAAACAAACTAGAAAGAAAAAAATAAGTAGTTCAAAGTTTGTTTTAATTCACTCTATTTCATATTATTATATTTTGTGAGTGAATATATAAGTGTTGGGATAGTGTTGTGTATATGATTGTTTGGTGAACTTTTGTGGAGTTGAGTTGTGATTGGAGATGATTTGGTCATTACTTGTTTTTGACCTTGGGTTTTGTTAGGATATGGCTCCCTTAAGCATGGCTTTACTCCCACATTTTCCTAAATTTATCCTACCCTTTACCCTATCCTTACATTACAAGCTTTAAAGACCTTCCGATCTTTGTGCATATGAGTTGTATGAATGTGAAAGTGTTGTCTATCAATGCAAGTTATGATTTGATATATTACGAGTCGACTAGTAGGTTGAGCGTTCACTGTTTTAAACACACGAGAGTGTGAGTTGGGAGGGAATTGTTCACAAATAAAGGGGTTGGTTGGAGAGCGATCGAGTACATCTTTTACTCGCCGCATAAATGAGAGTTGAGTGTGTGAGCACTAGTCTTGAATTCTATATGCTCATATGGTTTGCTCTACTTAACAATTGTTGGGGAGGAAGGGTGATTAGATGAATGAGATTAATTAACATTGAAGCATGTTCATTAGACTTATCTTGAATCGTTTGTGCTTGATTTTGTTTATTGGGATGAGGCATGTTTTATATGTTCATTGATGAGCTCTTTGCTTAGGGACAAGCAAGGGTTTGGCTTGGGGGAGTTTGATATGTCCAATTTATATAGTGTTTTACCCCCGTCCCATGGTCATAATTAGTGGTGTTTTTGGCTCTTTAGGGCCACTTTTATTACTAATTTGTGTTTTCTAGTGTTTTTGTAGTTTTGCTTGAGTTTTGTAGGAAATTGCACACTTGGAGCGTTTTCCGGGTTTTTCACGAAGCAACTACGAGCATTAGGAGGACACGACCATCCTTGAAGCCCAGGACCGGTGAGAGCCGGTGATTAAGGGCTCGGTACGTGATACCGGGGAAATTGGATCGAGTAATCAAGACCCGAAGAGGAAATTCGGATTGGGCTGAGGAATCAAGCCCAATCAAAATCGGAGCCTCGAAGAAGAAGCTGGGCCCGATCGGGCAAGCATACGCCTGATCGGGCGGGCGCGCGCAAAGCAGCATCAAGAGAAAAGGCGCGCCCGATCGGGTGAGCGTAGGCTCGATCGGGCGCAGCACACCAGCAAGGGCGTAGAAAAAAAGGCGGGCCCGATCGGGCGCATGTTTTTTAGGGACCTGATTAGTTTTTGTTTAAGGTTTTGTTTTAGGGATGTTTAAGTACGATTTTTGTACGTAATTTTGATTACCTTTTCTTTTAGATTTTCTCTCTCTACTTAGAATATTTTCTCTCTCTTAAAACTCTCTCAACATTGTTCTTAATTACATTCATTCATCCAGATTTCTTTTGGTAACAATTTCTTCTCTTTTTATTTCAGTTATTTTATTTAACTCTTTCATTATGTCTTGCTTTATTGATTTGATTAGTTTAGATTTAATTATGCTTGAGTAGTTTTATTTCTAAGATTTATGGGGATCTAATAAATAATATGAAGGGGTAAATTTGTGTTTGTTGATTATCAATGCTTGATTAATTTCCTATTGATTGATTTAATACTATGCAATTAGGTTTGGTCAGATTTAATTGTAATGAGTTTAGAAATATTAATTCGAGATTCGACATATGAGAGTTGATGTTTAGGCTTAGTTTTAATAGGCGGACTAATTTATAAATGGTTAAGTCGAGATTCAACAGATGAGATTTAATACCGGTAAATTAACTCTGTGATTATAATACATAGCGAAAGCCCTTTATAATCTGATTAATTGATGCTTGATGATTGCTTATTATGATTTTCCCTGGAATATTGTTTATTAGTGAACCTATGCCCTAGGTTTCCCTTTATTGATTTATACCTTTTTTATTCCTTTCCTGCTCATAATTTTAGTATTTAATTACCTTTTTACAATAAATTATTACTTGATAATTTAGATTGCATTTAATTAATTAGGAGTAAATTGACTTGTTTCCCTGTGGTTCGACCCTTCTTCCCTATCTACATAGTTAGTGGATTTAGGTTTATTTTTTATTAGGTGAATGTGTCACCCACCACCAAAAGGTCGAAAACCCTATAATCCTAAAACCACTCGATTTTGGGGTTTTAGGGTTTTTGGATGGTGGTTCAAAGGGTAAAAGAGGTGGAGACGGCCGGTGGGGGGGCGAAGTGGTTTCGCCGGCACAGGGGAGGGGGTTTGGCTGGCAGCCGGTGAGGGGAGGGGGGTTTTCGAGGGGAGGGAGAAGGGTTTTAGTGTGGAGGAAGGTGGTTCAGGGGAAGAGGAGGGGCTGGGTGGTCGGGCACTGAGGCTAGGTGGTCACTAGGGGTGAGCAAACCGGGTACCCGGTCAAAATTTTAGGACCCAGACTTGGAATTGGTTGGAACCGGGTCCTAAAATTCGGATCCGAAATTGGATTGGTTCAACCAGGTCCTAAAATTTAGAAATTGGTATTGGAACCACCGGGTACCGGTTCCGGTTCCGGTTACCCACTTATGTACGTAATTATTAAAATATAATACAAATTATAATTCTTATTTTAGTTAGGTTCATTTTTAGCGTTTAATACTTATATTTATATATGCATTAAGCTATTTGTATTTATGTTAGGTATTAATAATACATTTTTAATTTATAAATTAGATACATTCAACATATTTTTATTATTTAAAATTTATTTAGTTAGCATGTATTAGGTAACCGGGTACCCAACCGGTTCCGGTTCCAAAAAGTTGATAATTGGAATTGGAATTGGTTATAACCGGGTCCTTAATTTATTACCTGGAATAATCCAAATGTCATTCTACTTTTAAAAATCTTAATTTTTTTTAAAAAAGGAAAACTCCTCCCGTTTAACGACAACAACCCCACAACTACCTGCCAGGGCTGTCGACTACTAGAGATCATTACTGGCGGTACCAGCGTGACCACTAGGGGTGAGCAAAAAATCCGGGTAGTAGATCAAACTATGGGTCTTAATCAAACTCGAAATTGTCAGGGCACGCAAATCGAGACAAATTATGGGTCTAAATCAAACTCGAAATTGTCAAAAAATTAAATTAACGAAAATATCTCATTGTGCATGTCATGACATTTCTTATTTTTTTGTCATGACATGCAAAACGAGACATTTTCGTTAATTTTTTTGACAATTTTGAGTTCGATTTAGGTCCATAAAGGGTCAAAATGACCCCTAAAACCTTAAGCGAACAATTACTATCACAAAAAAGTAATGACACGCAAATCGAGATATTTTTTTACACGCATATGAGACATTTATATTATTTTTTTTGCTAATTTTGAGGTTAATTTGGATCATTATGGACTAACATGACTCCCAAAACTTTAATCGAATAATATTGGATACGAAAATCGAGACATTAGATTTTTAAAAAGGGTATTATAGTCTTTTCCTTAATTATTTTAAATTAATGAAACACTTTTTAACGGTGTTAGTCACGGTTGGGAAAAAGACCAAACCATAGGTATATCGATGGGAAGGCAAAAATTTAAGAGTGTATCAATAGGAAAAGTTAAAACCACGGGTACCAATGGAAAATTCCAAATAAAAAATGGGTAGGATTTGAACTTATGCAATACCGTATGTAGAGGTGAACATGGTCTGGTTTGATGCAGTTTGAGTCTAAACCAAACCAAACCGCAAAATACGGTTTGGTCAATTTCCAAACCAAACAAACCATATTAGTATTGAAACCAAACCAAACTGTAAGGATGCGGTTTGGTGCAGTTTGGTTTGCGGTTTATGATGAGACGACATTTTTTCCTAAAAATTGTCAAATATTAATAAACTTATAATAAAGTTCAAATAATTAGCCCAAAGGGATTGAATTATACTACAAATTTTTAATAAAAATAACAACCAACTAATCAAGTGCTAAGTGCTAACAATAACACATAATAAAAATAATACATAACAAATAACAGTGGAAAAAAAACATAATACATTAGTCCAAAAAAATAATTCATACTACATTATAGTTATATGACCTATTGAATTTTAAGTATTGATATTTGAGATTGAGTATAGAGTATAGTAGTATACTGACCTTATAGTCTTCTAATGATTTCTCATTTTTTTTCATTTATTTATTTATTTATATTATATAATAACTATTTTAATTTATTTAAAAATTATACAAATATTAAAATGCGGTTTACTGGTTTACGGTTTGGTTTGGTTTATAATTTTTGAAAAACCAAACCAAACCGCAAACCGTATTTTCCAAAAAATCGAAACAAAACCGTATTTTTTCAAACCGTAAACCAAACCAAACCGCTAAACTGGTTTGGTTATGGTCCAGACCAAACTGTGTACAGCCTTAACTGTTGCAATTTGTAATTTCTTATGCGGTGTTTGCAGATAATTATTTTTTCTGAAGTGTAGGACTACTCGTCTACTCCCACTTCCCAAAATTTTCCTCTAAATCGTAAAATTCCCCTTAATGGGAAATTTAATTAAAATATTTATACTCCAAATTTTATTTTTTCTTCCATTTACACAAATTATCCAGGCTGCTTCATACAATATCATTAAATCTATACCAGGATTTCCAGGCATTCTCCCATTTCACTTTGAAACCGGGTTATTCATCTTGTCCAATTTTTCAATTTTGTTTCTATTATAGAAGTTAATTTATTCTATAATTTTTTTTTTTTTTTTAGTGTCGTAAAGAGTAATGATATAGACGAGATCATGGAATTGTTTAATTATGGAATTTGACATAAAAGATTGAATTGCATGCAGGTATGTTGGGGTCGGAGAAAATGAAGAAGTGCAATTATTTTATTACTTTGTTAAGTCGGAAAAAGATCCTGAAAATGACCCGCTAATTCTGTGGCTTACCGGAGGTCCTGGTTGCTCTGGTCTTTCAGGAGTTATCTTAGAAGTTGGTATGTCCATCATTTACTTTCCAATGTTTAATACTGAATTTACCCATTTCGTTCAATTTACTTGTCATGTAACTATATTCACAAGATTTTATGCAAATTAAAATGTTAGAGAAATTGTTAGGTGAATAAGTATGGACGTGTGGTTTCTTAGGAAACACCTCTATCTGTCCCACCATAAAATGAGTGGTTTTGTGTAAACTGAACTGTTGCATGTATATTTCATGCTCTAATAACATTTTAATAATTGTAGGCCATTGGAAGTGGGTCAATCATTAAAAATTACCAAAGAAGAAAAAGTACCTCATCCGTTTTTGAATAGTTATACTACACACTTTATCATGATATTTAAGAAAAGAAGACCTCGCATGATATAATCTGTTTCTTTATCAATTATCCCGCATTATATAATTGTATAATTTTCACCATAAAAACCTTCCTTTAATAGTGTATTGCAACTATTGTAACATATCCATTTTAGAAAAGTATTACAAGTATAAAGAAATGGAGGAAGTATATCAATTATTTTAAGCAATATCTCTTAAAATAGAAATCGGACCAGACCATAAGACACTAGAAAACAAAATATGAGAAGTAAAATACTTCCTCCGTTCTTATTTACTTCATCTAGTTTGACTTTTGCACCATTTGAATCCTCTTCTTCGACTGTTTATTATGATTTATGTAAACGAAAAAAGCATAATTGTGTAGAATTTTGTTATAATCATCTCAAAAAAAGTATAACAACCATATCTAATTTTTTACTCTTGAGAATCAAAGATTTTAATAGTTAAAGTTATGCGTTGGCAAATGTGAAAAATTAACAATTTAAGTAAAAAACAAATGCTACTTAATTTGAACTTTTGGCATTGTTTTTTTTTTTTGTTTCCTTTTTTTCAAAAACAAAAAACCAAAAATAGAAAATAAGAAAAAGATGTTTTTACTTTTCCGTTGTCAATTTTCAAAATTATTATGATTTTAATAAGTTTAATTAGCCTTTGATTCGTTATATGACATATATTATGTGATTTTGAAAAACAAAGAACCAAAAAACACAAAACCACTGTGATACCAAACAAAACCTATATAAAAAATTAATAAGTTATAAGTTTTGTTTATACATAGTTCATTGATTATCAAACTTAACAAACTGGTCTTATGCGCTTAAGATGTTTGCTTCTAGCCTAACACTTTGATATTATATCATATTTATAATACAACTTAATAGATATTTAGATATTACAAAGTAGTGCAGTATAATAACCTACGGGTGGATTAGATATGGATGTAGAATGAGTCGAGTGTGGCCGATAGAGGTGATTTGAGCACTTATCGATTCAACTTGATCCTTGCCACTCTTAGGTACTTAAGAGTAGGTTGTTCAAATTGCAATTTATTTCCAATACCAACTATTAGAATATTAGTAAATTACTACTTCTAGGTCCTTTTTTTTTGACCCATTTCCTATTGTGAAGTTCTCAAAAGATTTTTCCTTCCACCCTTTAAATTACCTATTTTAGTTGAGCTGAGGAGCATTGTAACGTGCATAAGATTAATGTGGCGGAGATGCATATGTTGCGATGGATATGTGGCCATACAAAGAAAGGATCGATTGAGTAATGAAATAATTAGGAAAAAAAGTAGGGGTTACATCAATTGAATACAAGATGAGGGAGAATCACCTAAAGTAATTTGTCCATGTAAAAAGGAGACGTATCGAGGCTCCAATAAGGAGGCTTAAAGAGTGGCCTTGGGATCGTGAGGGGTAGGAAAGACTTTGGAGCAGGGGTGATTGAGAGTAATGTGAGTGCTTTGGGGATTGAGGAAAATATGATGCTGGATAGGTTGGAGTGGAGGGAGAAATTGGGATTCCAAAGTAGGGAAACCTTGGAGGAGGGGTGATTGAGAGTAATGTGAGTGCTTTAGGGATGAAGGAAAAGGTGATGTTGGATAGGGCCGAGTGGAGGGAGAAAATTCATGTTAAGAATGTGTCATGATTCCCTCTATATATATTTGTGTGTTGTAAACTTTACTTATTTCCTTCCCGTTAAAAAAAAAAAAATAAAAAAATCCTTATTTCCTTTACCAATGTTTTGACAAACTTTTATATTTTTACTCACATGTTTTTCCTCTCCTTTATATCCCCTTACTACTCTTTTGAAACTCTTGTAAATTTTACATGTATACTCTTTCTGTTTTTCACTTTACACACTTATTTTCCAACTTTTATTTCATTTGATTATTTTGCTATGCTCTTTTTACTTTTTGGATGGTACCTTATGACGATTCATGTTAGCAACCCCAAATCATTTTTGGGACTAAGGCTTTGTTATTAATGTATTTATTTAGATAACCTAATTGACCAAATTAACCTCATCTGAATTTGGGTATGAGAGACCTAAATCAACTCGACTTGAATCTGAATGACTTGATTGCCATGCTAGCTTAAATAGGTGCACTGCGCACCACAAACTACACTCTTAGGTGCAATTCGTGACTTAAGTAGTCAGTTTCTTGGTCATCATTTATTTCATAGCATTTAGCAATGCATTTTGTGCATCCAAGCCACAGTTAGTGTAATTGAGCCCAATTGAATATGTTTGTTTTTCTAATGAAAATTGAATTCACATCGCAGGACCTTTGATTTTCAATACTTCAGCTTGCAATTGGCACTCGAAAGCACCAACATATCAGTTAAATCCGTTTTCTTGGACAAAGGTACAAGAATTATTTTCTATAGTTTATAATCTTTATGTTTTTTCATGTCAAATTAGATAAATTTTCTCGGATTCAGATTTAGTAGCTCTTAAGAAGGCAATGACAATGAAAGTTCATCTAGAATTGGCAGACAATTGAGTAGCGACTATCGTATAATATATATCTATTCTGTTTGATCTTCAGGTGGCTAATATAATATTTGTGGATTCACCTGTTGGTGCTGGATTCTCATATGCAACAAATCCAAAAGGTTACTACACTGATGATCTTTTGTCATCAAGACATGTACATCAATTTTTGAGAAAGGTAAGGAAAAACTGTAAACTATCCACTTCTTTAACTGAAAGTTTGAATAACACAGACTCACAATTGAAGAGCTCTTGCCTGTTTGCCAAATGCATTGTCCTTGCCCTATAAATACAAAGTACTGTAGGCAACCCGTTATGTTTAATATAGGACTACTAAACTGGTGAGTCTAGATTTATACAACTTACAAGTACATGTGACAAAGTACTGTTGTGCATCCTTTGCTCCAACAATCTCATACTAAATGCTTACTTCAGGAATTATCAAACTAATACTTCACTTCCTTATTTTTTCAAGATTAGATCTTTTTATATTTTTATCATTAGAGGCACTTAGGGAACAAGAAAACTTGGGAAATAATTGCTATAGAAAGTAGTATAAAAAATAGCCTAAATAGACAGCATATGAATACAGACGGCATAGATCTATCCTAAATGTCATGCTATGTTCTTTCGCGTTAACAAAGAAAATAATGATCATAAAAAAAAGAATATCAAAAAGCCACTTTGTCGTCTACCAGTAAAAGGACGGAGGCATAAGAAAGGACCAAGCTTTTGAGACTGCTTCATTCAGAGAAACCGATGCACGTAGTGACGTAGGTGCTTTCCTCACCTTGTTTTTTTCCTATTACATGCTCACTGTATAGGTCAATAGTTGATTCATTTTCACAAAGAATATTGGTTGGAGCCTCTTACAGTTGCATGTTCTTATAAGAGAAACACACTTGGGAGTTGGGATAACATTTCAGCTTGTATCAATATTCAGCTGTAATAAAGTTTTCAGCTTGCAAAGTTGTTTGTTTTCGTTAGTTTGGTAGACAAAGATTTCTCAGCAAAAATTATCTCTTTCTATATGATGCTTGTTTCTGCTTCATGTGATGAACCAACAATGAGAGACAATTTGCAAACTCAGAAAAAGGAAGGGACAGCTATGCACTAGGAGACTAATGCAATTAACATTCCACTAGGAGAGGAGGCAACATGAAATAGCAGAGATACTCCAATATAATGGGGCCAAAATACATTAATGTTAGGGTTATGGTAGTGCTTGAGTATATGAGAGAAGTAGGGTAGCAGTAGGAAGTTAGGCAGAAATTGAGTGATAATGTTGAATGTGAGACTAGTAGCCTCAAGCTATCATTGAGAGTTATAGCCTAAATCTATATTTATCTTTGTAACCTTTTGGTAGTTTCAATCAAAAAGACTCAAGTTTTCTTTATAAATCTTATAATCAAGTTACAATATTTACAGCAGCAAACCTAGTCTATAACACTTCATTCCTACAACACAATTTTAAAATTAGGTAAGATCCAATCAAAACTTACTTCAATGTAGGTAAGATCCAATCAAAACTTACTTCAATATAGTCTATAACACTTCATTCCTACAACACGATTTCTGATTTGATTGGAGAGGAAGTCTTGTTTCTTTAGACAACTCTAAGGTATGCATTATATATTATTGATTGTTTGATGTTATTATTTTGCAAACTTTTTAATTCTGTTTATTATTTGAAGACAGGAGTTTATGGTTACAAATACTGTTATAACTAACCAGTATATTTTACTTATTCTTATTTAATCTCTGTTATATGTCTTTTCTTGCATATAGTGGCTAGTGGATCATGATGGATTCATTAGTAACCCGCTTTATGTTTCTGGGGAATCCTATTGCGGCATGACTGTCCCTATTATTGTCCAAGAGATAATTAATGGTAAAAATATCAAATTTTCCATAAATTCTTATTTTTTTACACTAATAATGTTATACCGTAGAGTTAAAAATTTCACTTTTATTTTAGGAACTAAAATTCCTAGCTTATGTCTTCATGCGGCCAAAATAAAATAATAGATAAAGTTTGTCATTTAATGTGCAGCCATTGTTATGTTGAAGATTAAGCCGTCAAACATTAAGAGGAATTGGCGTAACAATAACTTTTAATGGAGCTAGTGAAATCAGTCTAACAGTGGGGTTCAAGAATAAAAGCAGAAATGATATAGAAAGACTGAAGAAGTGAATAAGAATATAAATTTTAGAGGGAAAGAGAGAAAGATTGATGTTATTTCATTTGATGATCATGAATAGGGAAGATTTTAATATTTTTAAAACTTGCATTCGGAATTTCAGCATTTTCAGTTGTTTTTAACTTCTGGGTTCAGTTGTTGTGTAGGAAAAGGGATAGTTCTGAATTTTGAGTAAAGAGACAGATAGTTTCAGTTTCCGTGATGAACATTATAGTGAAGGCTTGTTAATTTGATATAAGACAAACTCTTTTTCTACCAAAATAGGCTTGAATGTCCTAACTAAAACCTTACAAATTATTCTTGAAGACTTGAAGTAGGCTTGAATGTCCTCACAAACTTATATATTTGCACAAACTTTCAAGAAGGTATGAATCTGGCAGACTAAGCTTTTGTTGCAGCATAAATGACTTTAAGTTCATAAAACCAGCTGAATAAGCCTTAATAATTTCAGATTTGTAAAATTTGTTGAGATTATCAACAATAAATGCGGAGTATTGCCCCGGTGTCATCCTTAAACTTTGCAATTTCAAAATTCTCCAAGAGTGTCACAAATTCCAATATACTTGCTTCATACTTTTATCCAGTTCGTAGAATTTGAACCAAATAGCTTAAGAAATTCAGGCTTAGGTACATACCAAAAAGTCCAGTTGGATTGGTCTCTAAATAAGTGTAACTTATTAACTGGAATTTCATCTTGAACCTTCTTTTTCCTTTAACCTTCGAAACATCTCCTCAATAAATTGTATACTTTGCAAGAAGTGTTCTTCTATTGTGTCAACATCAGTAGTTTCATGCTCAAATAGTTGCTTTACAGGTTAAACCCAAATTAATGTATGAGATGAAGTTTAGGACCGACATTCTAGACATTTCTTTATCATTTGACATTATAATAAATCTTCATTGGGTCAAATCAAGCCTATGTCGAAATATAGTCTAACTACATATAGGCCCTTGTAGGAATAAAATTAAAACAAATTGGTTTTGGGGTATAACTTCTTTGTGAGTGGATCTAATTATCTTAATTGAACACTTTTTCAGTGAATCTTTGTATGTTTTGACTTTCAAAAAAGTAGTTACTTGGTGTGGTTGTGCTACATAGCATCAATTTCAAACATTACACTCAAAATGAATTAAGAAATCTAACAACTTTCCTTGCCATCAGGATATTGTTTGTTTGAGGCCAAGGTATGATTAAAATGTAGTGCCTTTATTAAGAACAAGATTTCCCAATGTGTATCTATTCCATTCTAGCCGATATTGATTTAACAAAAGCAGTATACATATTTCCCAATAACTCAATACTATTGTCAGTAAATATATGATTCTATCCATATAACGAAATCAAGTGATTGCCTCTTTCTCTTTCGTTTAACGGTCATACAATTGATAATGGAGGCTGTTTGTTACTTTGTTTCTTATCTAGTTTACTTTGTATTCAGGATTTGTGTACATAATGATCTTATCTCCGTTTATCTGCTTTTAAATCTTTATGAGAAATTGAGAATGCAACTATGCAAGTCTTTACTTCCTAGCAATTTTAGTAAATTTCTTAATTTTTGTAACCTTCATCCTTTGACTTGTTGAATTATTCATGGTGCATAGGGAATAAAGTTGGAATTCAACCTATTTTGAATCTCCAGGTAATTGTGAGAAGGTAACCTTATGTAAATAGCTACCTTGTTTATGTTGCTTATTACAACCCTTCGTATTTAAGTTTTACATTTTAATTGACTCATAGTTTTAGAAAATTGAAATTACCTTTTAAAACATTAGAGGCAAGTGGGTGTATTTGGGGTATTAATAGCGTAAAGGATGAGGTAAGAAATGTGAGATAAATCGCAAGACTTTCCTTTTAGATTCATTTTATAATAATTGCAACAATTCCTTGTTTGGTAAAGGTCCATTACTATTTTATTATTTCTCTCCTACCAACCTCACATACACTATTTTTTATTTTATTTTATTGTTTCTCTCTCCTACTAAGAAATAAATATATCTCCACTAACTATACTTTATATTATAAAATTTTCCTTTTGGTCCCCACCTTATAGTTTTCTTAAAAACTTTGTGCAACACCTAGTGTTGCGATTATTAGTGGGTATAAGTGGGGACGGACCATAACAAGAGAGTGATATAACATTATACTATATTGATTTGCAAAAAAAGAAGTGAAACATTTTTGTTTATTTTAAAATGGCTGGTTAAGGAATTTTTCGCTTAAAAAATTGAGGGTGTAGCGTAAGTCGTTTTTTATGGAACCTTAAGCTTTCATTACAACTTTTTTATAGGGATATATTCTTGGAAATCCAACAACGTGGAAGGAGGATTCAACGAAATCAAGATATGACTTTGCTCACCGTGTATCTCTCTTATCTGATGAACTCTATGCGGTAACGTTCTAACTTACATAACTTTGGATGATATATTTTGGTTTTCATGAGAAAACTACAAAAGAATTACCATGACTTTGGATGCTCGTCACTTCAAGCGTACAAGAAAGAGCAGCCTGCATCTTAATAATATATCTGCTTGCCAATTTACATTTAAATTTGAAAACCACTTTTTACTCTATCTATTATTGATTAGTGTTATAGTTAGACTAGGTATTTTAATTTTTTCTATGCAAAAGTTGTAACTTTGTTCTTCGTTGATGTGGATCTCTAACTTATTGTTTCACTCTCATTTTGCAGTCAACCAAAGCAAGCTGCTATGGTACTTACAAGGATGTGATTATGGATGGAATTAATTGCACACAGAATCTTCAAGCCATATCAAATGTGAGTTTGGAAAGTTTTTACTTGTGAAGAACATAAAATCTGCACAACGGAGAGTATGAAATGACTTGATTGGTTAACGAATGTGATCTAATGATACAACTCTTAGGTATAGGTTTAGTGAGCCATGACCTATAACTCAAAACTAAAATCTGCACAATTAATCTTAATTTTTGTATCTATGATGTGGATGGATTTAAATGTATTTTGATGATAGCTATTAGAGAAGTCATTATCATCATGCCTTAGTAGTTTTATATTGTTTTTTTGTTTTAATATGAGCTGGTTGTTTCTATGCAGAATCTTGATCCAGTGTATACTAACCATGTCTTACAACCTCGTTGCGTTTCCAATCAAACATGTCAGGTATTCTCAAAGCATGAGTGTTATATACTCCCCCGTTTCATAATGTTGGTAAACAAAATTTCATATGACTATGTTTATTCTTATATGTAAAGAAAATTTTAGAAGATTTCCTCATACTTTTAACAGTCAAGAGTAGCTAAATGGGACTAATATAATTAAACGGAGGGAGTATTTTCTTTTTCTTTGGTAGTCTAAAATATTTCTTATCTAAAAATATTTTGGTCCCCGGTAATAGTTAGGTGAAAATCATATATATCGCTATAACAATCAATCTTCTTATGTTGATATAGCCAAGGAAATATTATGCAACTTTCTTTAGAATCAGATTAGGGGGATACTATTATAATGATCCTTAGCTTCTCTGTATAAGTCTTTCCCTAATTTTTTTCTCTATATAATTCTTTCCCCAATGTTTTCTCTATATAACTCTTTCAAAACTTTTTTTCTCTCGAAGCTTATATACTTTGTGTGATTTTTTTGGATACTATTACAATGATCCATATCAACTAATATATGTGCTTTTGTTTTTCCTAAACTAGTGGGTGAATTTAAGTAAATAACCAAGCACCTCATATTATTAGCTTTCCTCTAATTCATCGTTGATCTTACAAAGGATGATATTAATGTTATAGACCCACTCAGACGGCCGGAAATTATGGCGATTAAAATAACAATTAAGACTTAAGACTTAAGAGAAGGAAGGATGAATGCTTGATTAATAATAGCAGGAGGATTACAGGAAGCTTGAGGCTACTAATCTCACCAATGTGTTCACACTCAATTTCTGGATAATCTTCCCTTAACACTACTCATACTACTTATACTACAATGGTCAAGAATGACCTTAAGGCTTAACATGAGAGACTTAACTAATTTAGAAAATCATAAATAAACAACATAGAACTAGGCCGCTTTCTTTCCTTCTTCTCTTCTTAATTAAATTTGTCTTCTTCTTAATTTTAGTTGTCTAAGGAAGTAAGGCTTGGGATTGTTCTCAGTTGCTGACCTTGGTTGTCCTTGATTGACCTTCTTCTTGCATAAACCTTCATGGGTGGTTAACTCGAATTAGGACAACTAACTGGATCCGTGACAATTAATCATATAATTTTCTTTTACTAAAACAAAGAATGGTCTTCATTCCTTCAACAATCTCCTACTTGAAGCTAGATTTTAATCTATTGTCACACCTTGCTCCATGCAGCACAACTTTCGCATGTGTAACTCATGTAGACCAACTAAAGTTGAACACAACTTCAACTTGTCAATAGTCGCCGTCTTTGTTAATATATTTACCATATTCTTAGTTCCTTGAATTTTCTAACCTTTCATACTTGATCTTTTAATAGAGATCTTATGAAATGATATCAAAGTTTGATATGCTTAGTTCTAGAGTGAAATGCTGATTTCTTTGCCAAATATATTGCGCTTTGACTTTCACTATATAAAACATTATTCTCCCTAAATCCTATTGCCACATAGTGGATAGAGCAACAATTGTGACATCCAACCGATCGTCGTATTTCCAACCATGAATATATAACCCGTGGTTCTTTTACGACAATTACAAGTTCAAAGTCAACTTTACCAAAATGCAAACACATCTCTGTCAAAGATATCTCAAAATCCACTTCACTACTTCTAATGAACTTTTCCTAAACTTGCAAACAACTCACACTGCATGTCTAATATCTGGTCTTGTACAAATCATTGCGTACATTAAACTTCTGAAGCCCAAGGCATAAGGAATTATAGCCATATATTCTATGTCTTCCTCCTCCGAGGAGATTGACCATTGGATAATCGAAAGTGACTTGCCAAGGGCATAACTCATATCAAATCTATGTAAAACATGTTTGATGTATTTGATTGGGATAATTGCAAAGTACTTTTATGTTTTTTTTCTTGTATTTGCATTTTTAGAATCTTCTTTGTTGGACCCAAGTCCTTCATGTCAAACTTCTTTGACAACTGCTGCTTCAACCTTCTTATATAATCTATATTCGAACCTGCTACTAACATATCACCGACATAAAGTAGTAGAATAATATAACTGGATTGGTATCTCTTAAAGTAGTCATTGCACTTTTGGAAATTTTCCTTGGTCATAAAGCTATCAAACTTTCGTACTACTGTTTTGGGGCTTGTTTTAGGCCATACAACACCATATTTTCTTTCCCAATTTCAAAGAAACCTTGTGGTTGATGCATGAACATCTCTTCATCCAAATCTCCATGAAGAAATGCATTCTTCACATTTAATCGCTCAAGATGAAGATCTCATCGTAGTCAACTCCCTTATATTGGAATCCTTTAACTGTTAATCAAGCTTTTGTGATAAACTCATGCTTGCTAGACCATCACACACACCATTAACATAGAGTACGGAGGCAAAAGCTCAAATCTTTGATTGAAAATATTGAAGTGCAATGATTTGTACAAGCTAGAAACTTTAGGATGTCAATCTCTATTAGTGACTTTAGGTCATAACTCTCAAATAGTGACTTGAGGTCATAACTCTCAAAAGGATTCGCTCTAAAGCTCTACCTACCCGTTTCTTTCGCCTCTCTCTGTATTTATAGTAAGGACTATTAACCTAGTTAAGTAATTACTAGAATACCCATACTACCCCTTCTTAGGTTAGTTTATTGTAGCTTTGTATATCTTGGAACAATCATTCTCTTTTTTCACTCGATATACCCATTTGTTGTGAAGTGCCTTTTTACTCTTGGGTAACTCTGTTAATTCTGGTTTGAAATCAAAGATTTTATCTCATCTTTCATTTTGAGCTGTCACTTACTAGCATCACTAGTCTGACATGCTTCATTATAGCATTATGTTTTCCCTTCTTCAGTTAATAATATGATAATTCACGAATATTTTGGTTGGCATATGTGGACGAGTAGTTCAACTACAAGGTTGTGGCATGTTGGACTAATTATTCTTGTTGAGGTTCTCTTAAAGTTTTAACTCCTTGTTCCGTAAACCGGTCGCTAGTTGATCTGATCGGACTCCGGACAAGTGAGAGCCCAGCCCGGGAGGAATGCATGGTTCCCCAGGCTCCCTCCCCCTCTAATCTAACCCTACACCTCACTCGCCCAGCCCGCTGCACAATAAGAGAATGAGGTAGCTAATTGTGCAAGCGAGGACCGATTGGCTAGGGTGCGCCAGAGGAGCTTCCATTGACTTGTTAGGGCTGTCGAGGGCTGTCAAAGCTCTGCCCTTTCCTTTGCGTCGTGCTGTCTCTCACCAATTGCCAAGCCATAAAGACTTTTTTCTTGCTTGTCTTTCTTACAAGTGTAAACACCATAAAAAAAGGGCGATTTAGGACTAGGCTCGTTCCGGGGAGATACTACTTTAAAAAAACAGCAAAAAGGAACGCGAGTACTTGAGTCTTTCTAGAGATAATATTCATCTACAAACATGGGCCCAAAACTCCGGTGGCTTCAGTTTTGTGTCTATCCTTATACCATGACTCTTTCTCTAATACGAGATCACCTTTTTTTATACATTATCCCAGATGTCTCGTCCACGCCATAGCACATGAAAGTACATTTCTTAGAATTAGGATCAAATCTTGGAGTGAGACACTTTATCTCTTTTCTGCGCCGTACCTCCTTTGGTATTTTGTATTCTAATGGAGTTGATTGCCCTTGATTAATTGAGGAAGCTTCCATGTTGATTTCCCTTCTATAAACATGATTGCGTACGAATGCTTCAGCCGGTTTGTATTCATACACTCTGTTACACCATTATGTTTAGGAGTACCGACTACCTGACGCGGTATTCTCCATCTTGATACCATGCTTATAGCAAAACTTCTTAAATGTGGTGTCTTCAAGCGGTTTTGTACTTTTTAGTTTTTGGACCTGGTTCATTTTCCACCATAGCTTTCTATCACTTGAAAGCTTCAAACACTTTGGATTATTGATTTTAGAAGTAAACACATACCTTTCAAGTGATTATAGTATAAGTGAAAAAGTAGTGTTTTCCGATGGATGAAGTAGTTGTTGGTCCCCAAACATCTTAGTGAACCTTTTCTTCTTTGGGTTCCACCACTAATTTAGCTTTCTAAGTACGCATTTGTCACACATGTCCATATCAACTAATTCTATAACCTAGGAGTTTCCCTTTAGAATGCATTAGTTTCATCTCTTTTTCACTCTATTAGCCAAGTCTTAGGTCACAATTTGGAATTTTCATTTCCTAGTGCAACTGCAATTGAATTTCCACGTTCGTTTCTTTTAATTGAATTTCTTCCTCTTGACATGTATGTAGAATTGAAGGATGATTCACCCGACTCTCTTCACTAAGAACTAGATTATGAACGTCGTCAAATGTCAACTTCCTTCTTTACAAGAGCTATGCTAGTTGCATTCAGTAATGAAGCCCAAAAGTATCAGCTCTCGAACTTCATTTTCAAAATCAATTTCAAATAAACTCAATTTTATGATAGAAGATCCTTGAAATGAGAATTAATATAAACTAAGGGCGAGTTCTGATTTACTGTAGTGGACCGGAATGGAGTGGTCCTAAGGTCAATGTTATTTTATCTTTCTTCCTCCTTCAAAACCCTAAAAAGATTTGTTGGGGTTACCATCAACCTAGCACCAATGTTTTACTAGTTTTTAAATCATGCTCATAATAAACCTCCATCCTCTCCATTAAAGAGTTTTTTTATGTTAAACCTATTCGTATATTAGGTTTTATTTCTCTCATTGTGAGATTTTGGGGCTATATGTTTCGGTTCCTTAAGAAAAATTGGTTTTTTATGAGGATTTGTGTAATGCTGCAGTAGATGTCAATTTTATACCTGCAATGGATTGCATCAAATATTGTTCGATTTTAAAACTCTAATAAATCAAAAGATCCCCTCGTGGAAGACTATATTAAAAGAGCGAAGTTAAAGAGGATATTCATTAATGTCGGGTCTAATCTATAACGATCGTGGTTTTGCCTAATTTAAATATTATTGATTTCATTTTTCGTATTTGCTAGTTTTGATTTATATTGTGGATGCTCTTTGTTTTTACACTTTATTCACCTTTTTTCAAACTCTTTCAATTGATTATCTTGTTATGTCCCTTTCTTTATATTGTACTGCTCTTTATGAAGATTAATGTTAGCCGATCCTAAATTATTACGGGGTTGACCCTTGTTATCTTTAAATACTAATTAGTATAATTACAAAAAGTTAATATTCGGAAATTGCATTGAGACAATTCAAACAAATACCACATGACTATTTGATATGTTGCATAATGCTTAAATGGAGGTCAAGTGGTTTATGTGAACATTGGCCATTTATTTCTGAAACGGACGCTCAAGTCCTCCATAGTTAATAAAAGTTGACTTTTACTTGGGGTCATGACAATCTAAGATCAGATCATGGTTATGTATTCTGCATTACAAGTTTTAAATCAAAATCCTGTAAAAAACCTTATCATTGTTCTTTTTTCATTTTTCAAAGCCATAAAGACTTAAACTAATCACAAACCAATGAAAAATAGTTGACATCTTAGCCATATACTAGTCCAAGCAGCTCATTTGCCAATTGCCATTCATGAGTTTCTCGTATGAGACAAAGGAACTTTGATACTATTTCTTGCCTCTTGTTATTGTAGTCAAGCATGTACCAGCTCTTAAGCTATTGGGCTGATGACACTCAAGTTCGAGCAGTGCTTCACATTCAAAAGGTATACAAAGTACAAAGTCAAATAGGTTGATTTTAAGTTATAGATAGTCTTCGTAGCCAATTTCTTATGCTTTCTTGTAATCTGATTGAGTAAATATTAGTATTTACATGTTTAGGGTACTAAAGGTCCCTGGGTCAGATGTAATTATAGTACAGCATATACAAAAAATGTTGGCAGCACCATTGATTACCATCAAAATTTTACTCAAGAACACATTCGTGCCCTAATCTTCAGGTAATAAACTACTCTCATTGTTACACTTTTTTATTTACACACGACTTTACAGCTTTTTGCTTAGTGAGCTATTTTATGTCAAATTTTTTTGGGATAATCTCCCCAAATCCCAATTAATCAAATATCATTATAAATAGTTATATAGTTGTGAAAAAAAAAAACAATTAAAAAGAACAAAAAGAATAAGAAAGAAATTGGCGAAGGGGTTTTTTGCATTTAAGGTGGACTAGAAGTCGAACTTTGATGAGGGTTGTAAATGAGTAGAACTAAATTGTATTTTGTCTATGTGGGGAAAAATAAAACTATTGTTAAGGTTAATAAGTGTTGTCTAATATTGAAATTGTAGTGGTTATCATTGTACACCTGAAGATATTGATGATGAAGTTTTTACGTCATAAGAGGTAGTTAAGGATCATGGATTTTCCCTTTATTATTAGGAATTTAGAGGTGGGTTTTCCACGTAAAGTTCTTATAAGTCTCATGTTTTTATTCGGATATTTTTTTTCTTCTTGATATTGTGTTTCTTTGTTGTTTCAATCCTAATAATTATCAATTTGTCCATAAAAAAAAAAAAACTTATCAATTTGTTCTTTGGAATTGTGGGAAATATTTAAGTGCCCATGTGGAACGAATTCATATTTTCTTGCATATTAGCTTAGCCAAAATTGTGCCCCACATCTGTAATGACATATTTTCAAACAAAAATGGATTCCCCGTCTTACACTTTAAAAAGCAGATCCTATTATAGCTTAATAATTTGTTGAGAAACATGGATTTCTGTAGTTTGGACAATATTAAAACCATCATTATCACCTCTTAAGACAACGCTGGCTAAAAAAATGAGACCAAAGTGAGATTGAGGGAATTAAGGTAACAAATTTTCACTATAAATTCTTTCCCAAATGGTGCAATTAAAAACACGGAGAAAGTAAAATGTATAAGAGGGATAATAAAGTCCTTATTCCACTATCGAATCACTTGTACCACTAGCGAGGAGATTGCTTCAATCCATAAAGTGATTTCCTTTGACGACATACCTTTACCCTCAACCGTAAATTCCTCATGTTGAAACATATAGATTTCCTCATCCAAGTCATCATGTATAAAGGTTATCTTCACATCGAGCAGTTCCAGGTACAAGACTCAACATCACCCGAATAGAAGTATGTTTTACTATTGGAGAAAAAATCTCATTGTTAACAACACCTTCTTTGCAAATCCCTTGGCCACTAACCTAGCCTTATACCTTATTTATCTAACTTGGAAGCTTAGTTTTAAAAAGCGCGAGGCGCGCCGAGGCGCACCGAGGCGCAAAGGGTCCTGGAGCCTAGGCGCAAAGCGAAAGCGCACGCCTCTTGGATATGAGGCGCAATTTTTATTTATTATTTATTTAAAAGTCACAAAGAGGAGCAGGCTTTAGTTATCAATTTAAAAAAAAAATGAAAAAGTAATAAAGAAAAAAAAATTATATTGTAAGTGGGAAGATAACGCAGAGGAGAGAGTGTAAGAAGAAGCAGAAAATGAAAGAATGGAGAAAAGAAAAGATCGAAACCTACCTTGGTTGCTCCACCGATGTTGGCCGTCGGTATATATGTGTTGGAAACCACCGGGGATTGATCTCCAGCAAAGTTTTCCGTAGTGGAACCCACCAAATTTTCAATTGCAAAGCAACCCGCGATTAGGTTTTTTAAAAAAATTAGGATTTTTAAACTATGGTCAAATTAAAGTGATTTTGTGCAATTACCAAGGGGCCTTTGCTCAAATTATCACTCTAAAGACCGGGTAAGCTTCAATTTGGAAAAGAAATGTTTTTTTTTTTTACGTAAATTAATCCAAATCCCCTTTTCTCACGCTTTTTAACATAAGGCGACTGAGGCGGTGCGCCTTACACCTTGGTAGAGCCGGTTTGGAATGTGCGCCGCCTAGGAGGGCCGAGGTGTTTTGGCCTGCGCCTCGCGTCACCTTGCGCCTCAACAGCTCCCTTAGGCGCACTTTTTAAAAGTAATCTTGGAAGGATCCTCTTTTCTTTTATACACCTACTTACAACCTATTGCAGTCTTTCCCACGGGCAATGGGACTACCTCATATGTCTTGTTTTTATGAAGAGATTGCATTTCTTCTTTCATAGCAGCTAACCAACTTTCGCTATCCTTGTATATCTTTGATGGCTTGTTTGAAGGTGACCGACTCATCATCCTCGACTCATTATCCTCCATCCTCCACTGAGGGTGAATATTCTACCAAGTTTACCTACCCATAATGCCTCATAGGTTTGTTTAACCTAAACTTCTGAAATAATTTATAATTCCTCTTTGGCTTAGTGGATGCCAAAGAATTATATTGCTGCTGTTGTAGTAAATGTGCATTTTCCTACAGAATCTCCTCATGATCACCCTCCTCTTCATCTTGAGTAACACTATTTGTAGTTATTCCAACATCACCATCATTAGGCACCATAGCTTTTGATAAAGTTACCATAGATCTTTCATCAAAGGTCTCATCCCTGCCAATTACAAATTTAGAATCCTTTACACTCCAAGCCCCTCTTGGATATCCTAAAAAGATTGCTTTCTTGGCTCTTTCATCAAGCTTGTTATCTTGAACATGATAATAAGCCATGCATCCGAATACTTTAAGCCTCTTGTAATTTGCATTTTCCCCTGACTTAAGGCATGGTCACCATCTAAATAACAATGCGGGATCGATTTACAATATAACATGTTGTAGCAACCGACTCTGCCCACCATTCTTTGCCTAATCCAGAATTAGAGTGCATACACCTTACTTTTTCAAGTAGTGTACGATTCCGACAATCTTACAAGCATGACCGTTTCCCATTAAAACAATACCGCCATCCAAACACTGGTAAGTTGTAAACCACTTCTTATATGGGCACATATGGTGAGATGCACCCAAATCAAGCTTCCATGTACTATATATCTCATTACATTGTTCTAAAACTAAATCAAGCCCAAGAGAAATCTAGCTTCTTGTTTTTATGTTGTTTTCCTTTGTAGTTGTCAATGTTATTCTTCTTGAATATTACCCTCTTATTTGGGCAATTACCTTTAAAATGACCAAGCTCACTTCATTTGAAACATGTCCTTTCCACAAGAGGTCTAGATTTTGATCTAAACTTTTCTCCCTTCCCTCACCCTCTTTCATTCAATAGCTTGTTTGTTGTGTTCTGTGCCATTAATAGACATCATTCCACTTGTAGCAACTTTTCGAAGGTCATCCGCGAAAAGCGATGTTCTAGTCTCATCCATGGTTAGAGTATCAGGTTATCACCCACAAGCATTAATGTTTGAACTAGATTTTCATAGAATTTTGGTTTTGAAAGCAATAACATGAGTGCTTGGTCTTCCTAATCTACCTTCACATCATTATTTTTCAAATTTGATATAATTCTATCAAACTTATTTGGCCTTGTTCCATCTTGCATGTATACAATTTGGATTTTAAGTAGATTCTATTTGTTAGAGTTTTCGTCATGAAATTAGTCTTTACCTTTGTCCACACATCAACGGCTGTTGTTTCTTCATTTACCTTGAATGCAACATCCCTCTCAAGGCATAAGATTATAGCCACTTGTGCTTCAAGATCTAACTCTTCCTAATCCTCATCCTTCATCTCCTCGGGTTTTTATTCCTTTCCCGCTAATGCCTTATGCAACTTTTGTGATATAAACAAATTTTTCATTTGCATCCTTTAATAGAAAAAATCATTTTTACCATTGAATTTTTCAATTGCATATTTTCCAATTTTAATCGTTCCACTAGTAGATGCCATTATAATTAGGAAATTTTGACTTTTACCACATCAGAAAAACACAAAAATTGCTTTTACCACCTCCACATCCAAAAGTTTTATTTTACCACCTCATAAAAAAAATAAAGATAGATTTTACCACCACAACCTAACTCCGGTGACGGAAAGTTGCCGTGGGCCCCACTATTTTTCATTTCTCTCCACATTAAAGGGTAAAAACCCGATTTCCCTCTCTCTCTTCCTTTTCTCACTTTCCCCATTGAATTTTTTTGAAATCTTACCATCAATTTCTCACCTTCCTCCATTTAATTTTTTGAAATCTTACCTTTCTCCTCTCATTTTCTGTAAAAGTAAAACCCTAAGTCTCAAAATTCATCACTAGCCTTGCCATTGGTAATCCACATTGATATATTTTCTCTTTTGATGGTGATATACTTATGGTGGACATTTCTTGCTGCAATTGACAAACACCTGCATCAACATTACTTCTAATTGAACACAATTATTATTCCCAAACCCTAATTACATTAACCAATTGTTATTTTACCCCAAATTAATTGATACTAACATGAACCCTAATTTTTAAAATCTAAAATTAGGGCTCAATTCATAAGTCATATCAACAATTCCAATGAAACATAACAATTGGAACATAATCATGACATGAATTGCGAAAATATACATACTAATCTATGGTATTTGCGATTGAAGTGAAATTCGTACCTTCTTCAAATTTCCCTCTCAAAGGACGTTGTTAAATGAGCACAAATCTGGAACAATTGGATGCTAGGATTGAAAGGATAGAGTGAATTTGAGGATTTGGGAAGAAATTCGCAAAAAAAAAAAAAACCTGATTTCATGGATATTTTTTGACGAAAAGTGGTACCTGGGTTATTTATACAAGATAATCGAGGAAGATTGAGCTAAATTTGAAAAAATAGTTGTTAGTGTGGGGCCCACAACAACTTTTCGTCACCGGAGTTAGGTTGTGGTGGTAAAATCTATCTTTATTTTTTTTATGAGGTGGTAAAATAAAACTTTTGGATGTGGAGGTGGTAAAAGCAATTTTTGTATTTTTGTGAGGTAGTGAAAGTCAAAATTACCTTATAATTAATTTCAAAATAAAAAAAATTTTACCACTTAAGATTTTGACGTTGTCTTTAATACCAATTGTTAGAGCTCTCGCAGCGGAAATATGGCTTTTATTAGTTAATAATTTCTACCTTGCA